AAAAAACTTGCTAATGAAAAAGTGAGCATGATTGTCCGCACTTGCGACAAGTGGGAAGAACCAAAAGCTGCCTCCTTGATCGTAACTCGAGTATTAGAGGAACTGTTAGCTGATATCTCTTTAAAATTTGATTTAACAGCATGCTTACATAATCCCTAAAGTATTTAAAAATAAACCCAGTGACCACTAATTTTTTTTATTTGTGAAACGCACTAAGTGCATCAAGATACATCTTCCCCCAAGGTTTTTTTCTTTTTCCTTTTTTATTACTGATCTGTGATGCTTGTTCAAAAAAGCGGTGATGTTTTTACTTATTTCGTACCCAGATGGTAATGTAACACACGCACACATACTCCTGCAACTCTCACAGAAATGTAGGATCTTACCGCCCCTTGTAAGATCAAGCCACAGCTCGAGCTTATCCCGGTTGCTGCCCGACCCCCACCCTCTCCCTCTTGTTATTAGCTCTTCGTCTGGCATCCCTGGCGTTTCTCTGTTACCTGTTTTACTTCCGGATGGAGAGAGGCACCAAGAGCATAACATAATGACCCAGCAATTTCTTGAGCCCAGACCTGTCGGCCTGGAGTCCAATGCCCCAACTATTTTACCAACGCGTCTACAGATTCAAAGCCGCTTAAAGTGACGGATCCAGACCTTGAGCTAAGGAGGACCCCCAGTCTTTTTGTGCGTGTACACCTGCCGACCTATTTTTTATCCAAAATAAGGGGGGCGGCCCCCCCCCCCAGGTCCCTCCTCTAGATCCGCCGCTGACTTAGATTATCTGAGTGCGGTACTGTTTAGATACAACGTGAGCCTTTTCCATGTTGCGAGAGCACGTGCAGTATACCGGAATTAAACCTACAGAGGTAGTCTGTGTCCAAAATATGGATAGACGATCAAATTGACTGAAACTAAAAAAAGGACAAAAATTCAAATGAATTTGATAAGCATGTCTGAGTGTTTTTATGACGGTGTACCGCCGTACGTTTGGTGGGTACAAATGTCCACACGTTTTCACGAATTGCAGTTTTATAAATTGCTCATAACATACAGAGGTACAAACTTTAATTGTAGGCTGACTAAGATTTTTTTCAACTTTTTTCAATTTTTTCTCAATGTACCAAAAGACGACAAGTACTAAGCCTGGCCTCTGTTACCTGTTATAGCGCTGATAACAACCACATTATGGCCTCTGATGTGTGGAGAATAATCTTTTCCATTCACTTTGATGTAAGCATTACCACACGAGCCAGGTGTAATTCCTGGATCATCACAACCCTCACTGCGGATGAATACTTTCAACACGGGGGCTAATTATAAAAATCAAAAAGGAAAAACAGGACTTTTTGTTTCGTTCTGAGTTTCGGCGGCAAGAAAAGGAGAGCTATATGGGGAGCTGTATGGGGAGCTAGTTTTTTGCTTTTTAATACTGATTGGTATCTATTTCTACCTCTGGGGGAATGTAAGGGCATCTCTGAGAAAGACACATTTTGCCTAAAGCTGAAATAGTTTGGTCACAGAATTCCCTTTGGAGACCTTTAATGTCTCATATTTGTTATATTTGTAGACCTACAGCCGGTCGAACCGAAACACAAGAGTTTTTTGTTGATCACTCATGCATCTTTTAATGAGATTCTACATGTCTTCTTACGCCAATTTATATTTTGTTTAAGTTTGTTCTCGGCAGGTTACGCTCACGTCACGACTCATTTATAACACGATAAGTAATATTATCCTATGCCTCGAACTGTCAAAAGGAGGGAGTTTGTCGGTCTAAAAACCTGTGGATACATAACTGTCAAAATCTGAATACTAACGTGTTTGACACCGTGTTCCCTTGTATCCAGAATGAGACTGATCGCTGTTAGCGGGTCGAGTTTGCTCCCGAGAAACATCCATGCAGGAAGCCTGACATAATTGATACAAAATAAGAGAAAATTAATTTGTTTTTGTCGACATTGCATCGAGAAGAAGAAAACATCTCATTCTTTGAGTGACCTTTTTTTTTCAGTTATTCAGTACAAAAGTGAGTGACAACCATTTAACTCTGACCACCCTACAAAATGTGAGAGTTTTTATAATGGCGAATAGCCCTTCAGAATATTACACTCTTTTTAAACTAAAGAACTGTGGAGTACGTTCATACAGATACCGAGAACAGACCAAAAACTTATTCAACCTGAAATTGAGAGATGAAGCATACCTAATAATTTGCATCAGTCTGCATACTTATTATGAAGAGGTGACATCGCCAACTCTCGCTTCATCACATCATCTTTACAGAAACATAGCGGTATAGGTGTGTAACACCTATAAATATTGCGTATGCATTAATTATTTTCTTGTCATTCTCAGCTCTCGGACCGACGAAGGGAAAAAACTAAAGTTCTGAATTTCTCTGCCGTATCAAGCACGATACGAAAGACGAAATGAAGACACCTAATTTTTTTCTTTGCCCTCAACAGCTAAATTAGATGGTCGCAAAAAAAAGAGCTGTGTTTTCTCTTTACTTAAGAAGCTAGAATTCCTCTCAGCTTCGTCTCGAGCAACTCTCTCTCTTCTCTCGTGTTCTCCAAACTTCCTGCGTGTCTCCAGAACTTGGTATATGCACACTTAGCAGGAATCAATTCTTCAATCAGGAATGTATCGATCTTCAGTAAGACTATGATTAAATAATACCAATTACTCGCGTTCAAAACAATAAATTAACCGAATATCTTCGGCATATTAGCAAGTAACTACGATAACCTTAAAAAACTTAATACCTACCTGAACAGAGCCATAGTATGTAGATCCTTCCTTTCGTTTAAGATCAGCTGGCTTCAACTGCCGTGTTTTATTATTCAATTCACAGATGCGCTGTCCAATACTCTGATCAGGGTGAACATTGACCGATTTGCAACTGTTATTTTCCATACATTTTAACTGACATTCAAACTCGTCTACAACAACAGTCGTGTACATATCGTGACCGAATAAAGCATAGTCTGAAAGGAAAAACAGAGGAACTGTTCACGGATTTTTCGCCTGAATATATATGAAACAAAGCCTTAGAATCAGGCTCGGGTAGTTTGAGTTTTAACTCACCAAGTTGAGTTTCGAAAACGTTTCCACAAAAGTCTCCGACGACGATATTAAGAGTCACAATAGAAAACTGGACTGGCCATAAAACAGCCATTCTACTTTATTTCCTTGTTGGTGCTCTTCTCTTCCAAGAGGAACCTCTTCCCTTGATAGACATAATCTGCAATGAAATCCATCTCCCTAATTTGCCTTAATTTGTTTTCCTACACAAATAGAAAACTTAATTAAAAATAAACATTATTTATAATTCAAAGCTCTTTTTCAATGAAGTTTTAGTGCTATAATTGCGTTTTGAGCACTTTCTTTCTGTTTTGAAAAAAAAGTTTGCTTTTATTTTTTTCCCATAGAATACAGTTGCGAGCTTTGCTTTTTTTCTCCCTTTTTTGTTGGAATTAGCACACTTTTTCATAACTTTTCGAAAGTAACACTAATGGTTCGAAAAGTCGAACTATTTGATTGGCTAACGAGAGAATAGCTGTCAAACACAAAGTGTACTTCGCCAAAAATGTCATTTTAAAATGGATTTTGGATTGGAGACCCATCGATTTGAATTTCGTTTTTAAATGGAAATTTAAATTAAGAAACTTTTGTCCATTGTCCTGTGGCATTGAATCCGGCCAAGTTGCGGCTCACAAAAATGTGCACTTTTTCGGCAATAATTACGAAACAAAGAACTAAAAACTTGCAGATGAAAAAAAGAAGTAAAATTGACTGCACTTGCGACAAATGGAAATAGCTGAAAGCTGCCTCTAACTCGAAGATTGGAGGAAATGTTACTGCGAGCATTAGAGCTGATAACTCGTTAAAAATTAAACTAAACAACATGCGTAGACAATCCATAATTTATGACCACGATAAAAAATCTACTAGGTATGATATATACTAATTTTTGGTAGGTTCAGACACAGATGCACTTATGCATCCTACCTCATCAACATCAGTTAAGTGCGGTGACGATCAAAAACTAATAATATCTAAAGAACAGGTCTTGAAAGCTTTTCAAAGACTTAAACGTTCAATTAATAATCCAAAAGGGAAAGGAAGAAGAAGAATGCACATATTCCCTCTTTGTGAAACGGTCTGGGTGTTGTGAAAGAGGAAGAAACGAAAAATGGATTATCCTCTTTTTCATGTTTTGAGTTTAAATTTTTGGAGGAATGTTGTGTAGAGCGGGGAATTCAGTTTCGTATCATTTTCTTTTTTCATTTTATAATGCAATAGATGAGCAGATGGTCATAACAGTCTGATCCCCGTAGACTTCAGTCACTATGGATCGATATTATTAAACTTTTTTGAATGCGCCCTTGAAGAATTTATAAAAAAATGCCAAATTATTTATCAATATGTTTATACCAATTTTTTTTACTAGACTGGCTACCACAGAAACAATATGGCCTATTAGCAACAGCTCCGACGTAAAAGTATTAAAAATAAGTCCAATGATGACAATTTTTCTATTTGTAAAACGCATTCAGTATATCATGATACGGTGCATCTTCCTGCAAGGTTTTCTCTTTTTCCTTTTTTTTTCTGGTCTGTAATACTTGTTCAAAAAAAGCGGTAATGTTTGTACTGTGTAACACACTCACACACACAGAATCCATGTAACTGTCACTGAAATGTAGAGTCTTACAACCGCTTGGCCGTGAAAGGTTTAGGTACGAGACTATGTCTGTACTCGAGCCATGTGGTAAATGAAGCCGGAGCTTATCCCGGCGGTTTCTGCCCGACCCCCTCCCTCCCCCTCTCGTCATTGGCCTTTCGTCAGGCACCCCTGACGTTTCGCTGGTACCTATTTTACTTCCGGATGATGATAGGCACAAAGTGCATAACATAATGACCCGACAATTTCTTGAGCCCAGACCTCGGCCCGCAGTCCAGCGCGCCAACTTCTTTACCACCACCTCTGCAGGTTCAAAGACACTAACCCCGTGTTTACACTCAAGCGTTTATCAAGGTAAACATTAACTGACTAAACTTTGGTACATTTGTACAGTGTTTATACTGGCTCAAATAACTAAGGTAAATCTGTCATCAATCACAATCTAATCGAATTGGCGGCAAATTCTAAATCCACGCATAAAATGCTCGCGTTTAAAAGAGAAGCTGTGGCTCTTGTAGTCCTCGCATTTTATTTTCTTGTTCTTGATCAGCAAACCCAGGAATCGAGATTGCAGCAGTTCTCACTTTTGCAGCACCTAAAGAGGTCGAGGAGAAAGCAATTAATTCTGCTACAAATTGCCCATCGCAAGACAAGGCGCGTTAGACGTGCGTGGTCGTGGCCGAGAAACCAATTCTGGTTCGTGTAATGTCGTGAGTCAATCATGTTGGATCACGTGATTACGGAGACTTTTATTAAAAAGTAAGGAGTTTATTACAAGCAGGGCGTTGTGGGTTATCTTTACTTTAGCTCTGTTCGAGACTGATACTCTTGATACTACATCTGGCGACGAGGATGTAAAAATTAATGAATCCCACAGTCAATATTCACAACAACACTGGTTTTCATTGAGGAGTTTGTTGTGTAAATTTTTCTGGAAAGCACGTGCTGTTTGCGACGCGCTCAGCTCTGTGAGACCTCATGGCGGTTTCGCTACCAAGTTTTCCCCCGTTCGACGTCTATGCCGATGGCAGTGCGGGTCCACGATGGAAAAGATGGCTAGGACGCTTAGAACGAATGCTTATCGCAATGAACATCACAGCTGCGAAAAGGAAATGGGCTTTGTTGCTGCATTATTCCGGCCCCGACATAGACGAAATATGCGACACCTTACCAAACACTGGAGACGACGGCAACTATGACACGGCGGTCGCGAAACTTAACGAGTATTTCTCCCCACAAGTCAACAGCACATATGAAGTATATAGTTTTCGCCAGACGAGGCAGAAAGAGGGTTAATCGCTTCATAGTTTTCACACCAGGCTTCGCCAACTCGCGAAAACTTGCGAATTCAGCGATGTTAACAAAGAAATCAAAGAACATATTATTCTGACGTGCAGTTCCAGCTCGCTTAGACGCCGAGCGCTACGTGAAAACCCAACGTTAGAAGGTTTATTGAATCTAGGAAGAGCATTAGAACTTAGTGAAAAACAAGCGAAAGAGGTAAAAGATAGCGGAGGCGAATTCGAAGCCGTCAACAAAATCAAACGAAAAGAAGAGAATCGGCAAAGCCACCCGCGCGACCAGCGTGACACACAGTCACGCAATCGTCCATTTGGAAACAAGCAAGGCAAATCTCCTAGGAAACGTGGCAACTGTGGCGGGTACGCACCTCACAAAAATCCGTGTCCTGCATAAGGAAAAATCTGTAAAGCCTGCGGGAAAATTGGCCATTTTGCTCATGTTTGTCGTTCTAAACCTCGTACCGTGGCCTCCGTGGAAACTGGTCAAACCTCTGATAAAGAATATGAGTACGTTTACACGGTCGACCATGAAGAAAACAAGAAGCCACCCATATGTCAGCTACAAATCAATGGAAAAAGCGTGAATATGATGATCGACTCGGGTGCATCTGTTAATCTTCTAGATGAAACAACCTTTCAAAGAATTAACAGTCACGGCAGTGGAAGCCTGCAAGCTGTTCTCACCAAGATTTATTCATATGGATCTAAAGTCCCTCTTCCTACCCTGGGAATCCTCACTGCAACCGTGAAATCCAGCAACGCGAGCGCCTCTGCCCAGTTGATTGTTGTTAAAGGAGAAAACGGAAATCTTCTCAGCTATCACACTGCGAAGAAACTAGGCCTGATTGCGGTTTCTCTTGATACTGCCACCGTCACTGAGAGAAACAAAGACGACCCGGAGTCTCTAAAAGAGGAGTTCAAATCACTGTTAGGAGGCATAGGGAAAGTGTTAAACAAACAAGTGAAGTTACACATAGACCCTGATGTTACACCCCGACAGCAACCCCACAGACGAATTCCATTTCATGTTAGAGACGATGTCGAAAAAGAGCTTGAGAGACTTGAGAAACTCGACATCATCGAGAAAGTTGAAGGGCCCACACCCTGGATCAGTCCAATTGTTGTCGTCCCGAACAAATCCGGAGAAGTTCGAATCTGTGTTGATATGCGTGAGGAAAAATAAGCAATTAAGCGGGAAAAGCATCTCATGCCGATCATTAATGACCTTATTGCTGATTTGAATGGTGCAACGGTTTTAAGTACATTAGATCTGTCCTCAGGATATCACCAGCTTGAGTTACACCTGAAAGCCATCATGTCACAACCTTCAGTACACATGCTGGCCTAAGAAGATACAAACGCCTGCCTTTTGGAATTAATGCAGAAGTCAGAAATTTTCCAGGAAATAATCAGGGAACTCCTTACTGGCCTCCCAGGATGTAAAAACATCTCAGATGACATCATAGTATTTGGAAAAGACCAGGAAGAACACAACAAGAATCTCCGTGGTGTTCTACAGAGGCTTAAAGAAAACAACCTCCGTCTGAACAAAGACAAGTGTGCGTTTTCCAAAACTGAAATCAAGTTTTATGGTCACATCTTTAGCTCTGTCGATGTTAGACCTGATCCAAAGAAAGTTAAAGCAATCCACGAGGCACAACCTCCTCAGAACCACAGTGAACTGAAGTCTTTTCTTGGTAAGGTAAAGTACGTGTCCCGATTCATACCAAACTATGCCACAATCACGACCCCTTTGCGCCTGCTGACCCGACAGGACACCCCTTGGAAATGGGAACAAGAAGAACAAAATGCATTGGACAAGCTGAAAGAAGCCCTCGTTGGGCATCAAGTTATGTCTTACTTTGATCCAAGAAAGAAGACCGAAATCTGTCGATACGAGTCCAACTGGTCTTGGTGGACTGTTAGTACAAGAAGGCAAAATTCTTGGTTATGTGAGTCGTGCTTTGAGTGACCTGGAAAGTCGCTACTCCCAAACAGAGAGAGAGATGCTTGCCGTAGTACGGGGAGTAGAACATCTTCATCTGTATGTTTATGGTGCCCAGTTTTCTGTTATTACTGATCAGTAACCTCTCAGTTTAAATTCAGTTTGAATGTTGATTATTGAACTTTGATTACTGAACGATGGACATTGTTTTGTTGAGAATTTTAGGACGTTTATCACTTAAAATGCAGTTAGTTACCTTGTGTTCTTTTCATCCGAAAAAAGGAGAGGGATGTAATGGCGTGAGTCAATCATTTGGATCACGTGATTACGGAGAGTTTTATTAAAAAGTAAGGTTTTTACTACAAACAGGGCGTTGTGGTTTATCTTTACTTTAGCTCTCTTCGAGACTGATACTCTCGATACTACAGTTCGAAACTCTACTAAACGGAAATTTTGTTGAAGAATGGTGGAAGGAGTACTTTAGAATATCAAGACGTACTTTCTGGTCTCGAAAACGTGATCGAATGAAACTGGCGCAATCCCGACACCGCAGGATGTGAAATTTTATGCGACCGCAAGCGGATGTATCTGTCATCGAAACCTTGGTTACCGACCTTAACCATGCCTGCTCGCAAGGTAAACCGAACTTTTACCTTAGTTAACTTTCTATTGTCTTGAGCGGTGTTTATCAGGGTATCAGTTGGCGTTTACACACGAAAAATATTTACCTAGGTAAGTTAACTCCAATACCTCGGTAGCACGCTCAGTTCTAAACACGGCCTAAGATTAACTGAGCGCGCCGTGCTGGTTTAGGTAAAACGTACACCTTTTCCTTGTTGTGCGGTGAGAGTGTGTCAGAATTATAGCTACAGAATTAGTCTGTGCCCAAAATATGGATACGCGATCGTACTGACTGAAACTGAAAGATGAGAAAAATTGTCCGGCAACAGTGCTTGATTTTTCTGAGTGTTTTTACTATAGTGCACGGAACGGTAGGTACAAACTTTCACACGTGAACTTAAAATTGCTGATACATAGAAAGGTACTGAAACTTTAGTTGTAGGCTGACTAAGACGTTGTTCAACAGAATTTCTATTGATAACAACAATAGCTTTTTACAGTTCATGCTTTTAAGCCGGGGTTAACATTTATCGCGCAACTGATCGCCCTGAGATAGGGTAGCCCTGAGAAGGACTGTTGTTGGTATCCGCGACTGTCCCTCCCACTGCTACACTCACCCGGACGATCACAGTACGCTATCACGAAGGTTCCCTGTTTGGTATTCCAAACCTGGCAAGCTAATGAGCAAACCTGTATTTTCTTGCAAAGAAAAGTGCAAAATGATTTTCTTCTAATAAAAACTGCCTAATTTATGACTTGCCGTTGGTATTACAGATCTATGATTTTAAGTCTACTGCGAGTAAATGTTAGAGAATATTTAGCCTTGTTTCATTTCTTAGCAGTAGCTTAAAGTTTTTCAGGATTGTGAAAACAAATGATGTAGAGTTTCTTAGGCCTTAGCGAAAATAAACTTTCCAGAAATCGCCAGACGATAATTCAAAAAATTCTTCACCAGACTTCTTGAAGTCGTCACACTCCCATCTTAAATTCCCAGGTGTTAACAACCAGTGATATGTACTTCCTACATAAAAAAGGACATTCATTTAATCTTTCCTGTGCAGCGGTTGGTGATCCCCTCTTCTTACGTTTCCATTGGTCACACATTCCAGCTATTTTGGAGTTATCATTTCCCATTCTATCAAACGAACCACACGCCAAGGGCAAGACATCTGTTTGACCGCTAAAGTACTGGACTGCAGTTTCCCCAGAGCTGTTAGCGGCCGTGTTCACGTGGATTGTACGTCCTCGTTGTTTTCTGCAGTGGAGTCTTAGTTTAGTGAAGGACACGTGTGCTCTCAGTTCTTTCATGGCATCTTTTTGTGACAAACGTTTTCTTGTTGTTGTGACAGCTGCTGATTTCATGGTATGATGACTCAATGGAAAACTGTCGAGAGGACGGATCGTCCACCACAACATTGGAAACAAGCCAATCGCCCGGAAAAATGATTGAAATCTGATCATTCGACGTGATGCCTATTTCAATTTCAACTATAGGATGTGCCTAAATTAAGCTTACTGTCAACAAAATCTAGTCAAAATTTCGATTTTTTGCTATTTAGTAAGAGAAATCCAGAAAGTTTCATTTTCGAAAGAAAAAACATACAAAATCTCAAAAAGATTGCGAGATACCAAAACAGAAACTGTCAAAACTTGTGTTATTTTTGGAGTCTGGACTTTATAAGCTTTACAGTGATAAATAGTTTTCGATAAAGTAGCGCGCATTAGACGATTTTTCCGGGGTATCCTATTTTGTTTATTTTCCTTGATTGTCTTTTGTATTTTAAAGTATGTTTTACCTCCGTCAGTTGTCATGTCACAGTAGACCTTTAAGAGAGGCCGCCAGAATATTTCGAGAATCGAAAATCAGTGACGAAAAATCGAATTGTTTTTTATTTTGCCAAAACATCTCTTTCTGTGAACTAGTTTCGAAAAGAATATTTTAAAGTTCCAGCGATTTTCTTTCCGGCTGAAATTTAAAAAGTTTGAAAATTCGTTAAAAAAGCCGTTTTCGCCTTGCCTAAACGGTCAAATCGTCACGCAACTTTAGAAAAATGTTGGCAGCGCCAAACAAGTCCATTCACCATCAAACTTTGCACAGTAACTATAATATCACTGCACAGTAAAAGCATATAAAAAGTTTCTTGTAATTCTCTTTGGTATGGGTTTTATCGCCGTTTTTATAAAGGTGTATTTTGCACGCCTTTTTAGGAGACAAAATGAAGGCTAAGTTTTACCGGTTTAAACGACACCTGGTACCTAAAATTTCGACATTAAAACCATATCAGACGAGAGCTCATTTATCAAACTATACACCTGGAGAGTTTGGCCGTTGGAAATTAAGTCTCGTCTTGGTAGTTAAATAAAACGTGATGCCACCCAAGTGCCATGTAAGCGTGCAGAATTCGATGTTCATTTCAAGCTAATTATAGAGTCAGTTTGTCGAAAATACACAGAAAAAATTAAATGACGTCAGCATCGTTATGTTTCTTCTGTGAAGCTGTGAATGTAAAGCAAAGTAGTTTTTAATCTTTTAGTCTTTCTTAACTACGTTTTAAGTGCCAGCGTGTCTCTTAACACATGTTAACACGGCTGATGGGATTTACAAACTTCAGAACATTTCGAAAACAATCACAGTGTTGGCTAAAACGCCGCTACTTACACTAAATTAATGATGTGTTGAGTTGCTTCTTACCAAATATACTAAAAAATCTTCGTGCTTAAATGAAGAAAA